GTAGACTTGTTACTTTCCTTGGTAGATTTATTCAATGTTTGCAGGTCTTTACTACAACAAATCTACTAATCTTTCGTAGACTTGTTTGGCTATATTGAGTTACGAAAGACTTGTTTCTTAATATTGAATGACGATAGACTTGTTTAGATTCGGATAAGCGTACTGGTAGATTTAAAAAATAAGCGGCATGGTAGACTTGTTGTGGTAGGTGGTAGACTTACTTGTAGTAGTGGTAGATTTATAATATGTGGTAGACTTATTTGTAGTAGTGATAGATTTATTATATGTGGTAGACTTATTTTATAGTAGTGGTAGACTTATTCAAAAAGAATAAAATCGTAATTTACCGTTCATCTTCTCCACCAACCCAAAAGCTGTGAAACGACAACAATGGCGGCCAACAACTTTTTAGCTCGTTTTTACTGTATTTTAACTTGTTTTCAACTGGGTTTAGCCTAGTATATATAACATCATATATCCTTTTTTTAATCAAAAATCAAAAAAATTTGAGTTTTTTTTTTCACCTTATGATTTTTAATCCGATTTTATCTCAATTCCGGTGCTTCTTCAGCCTCCACACCTCCGCGGCCGCTTCAAACAAATTCTTCATTTTTTTTTAAAGTCAAAATGACATTTTTGTAATAACAAAACATAACTTTGGTTTATATGACTATTCTAATAATTAGTCCATTTGTCAAGTCTATTCTAGTAATTAATCCAAGTTTTAATTGAGGAGTTTATGCGTAATTCACAGTTGTATATTTGTATACATTGTTATATCATAGTGTCTAAGAATCAAATGACGGGTATCGAATACTATATGAATCAATGTACCGTATACTTGTAACAATTCTATCGCCTGGTTACTCCCGTATAAATATTTTACCATGACTTACGAACTTTTGTTTGGCATTTGGTATATGGGGAACTTTTATTACTACTCTGAATGTGTTCATTCATACATGGCATGCAAAAATACGTAATAATATCAACCAAAAAGGAGGAAATTGCAATAAACTAAACAAGCATTGTTTCCAAAGATATAGAACACAGACGACACTTGACTTAATTAAACAAGACGACACTAGACTTAATTCACTTAAACAAGAAGTCTCTCAGACAGATATGTATATAGAGGAGACAAATTAGATAAGTTTTGACATAAACTACATATTTAAGAGTCATGATCCTCTCTCTGCAAGTAGAAGCAAAGACCTTGACTAGTTGTGGATGGAAAACGGAAGGGGAGGAGCGGGTCGACAGAGGATGGGAAAGTTCTCGCCCTTTTTGAAGGTGCTCCACACCTTGGCTTGGTACTCGACGAGAGGTCCATCAGGCTTCTCCTTGGCGAGAAAAGTGACGTAGGTCTTTGATCGAGATCCTAGTGAGAAGTTACCTCTCACCACTTGCACAAACTCCACATTGAGACCCTGGAGGAGCAGAGGGATGTTTAATTTAGTAGGTGCTTGCTTGTAAAAGGAATTAGCGAAACTAAAATTAAGCAAAAAACGATGAACAAAACACATGCATACCCTTTCTTGGTTGTATTTCTGGAGACAGAGATTGCTCATCTCTTCAAAGAACTCGAGGTGGGTTTCGCCGTGACCGGCATACGTACTCATATCACGTACTGGTTTGATGCCTACAATGGTGGACTGAATTGTCCCAGCCGTAAGCCCTGGCTCAACGTAAAAACCCTAACGAAACCCAAGCAGAAAATTACCATCTATCTATTGGCCAATACATCTTGATTGAAATCAAGAGAGAATGAGATTGAATTCAAGAAATACCTTGCTCCCGATGACCAAGCGCTTGTAGCGGCGCCAGTTCTCTTCTTCCTCTTCGTCGGTAAATACGTCTTCCTCAGAGGAACGGTACTCGAGACCGTCGAAGCTGTCCACATCCCATTCAGGGCGCCTCCACTTCTTGCCCCCCTCGTCTTCGTATACTTCTCTTCCGTATTCTTCCGAGCCGCTCTCTTCCTCCTCCAGCTCGAACTCGGCCTTACGCTTTGTCACGGATGCAATCGCCACGGCCGGAGATTCCTCCATTGCCTCCAACTTGCTCGACTCTCCCTCCCTCGTTGAACATTTTCTCAGATCCATCGTTTCTCGGAGTAAACCCTAGACAAACTTGTAATCTACTAACCAAATGTCTGTTTTTTCTTTTCCTTTCTGTTGTCAGATTTTTGCCTCTTTCTTTTAAAAAAAAAAAAAAAATTCTTGGGTGTTTTCCATTTTCTTTCTCCTCCGTTTCCTTATTTTCTAACGAGACTTCCTACTCAAGCTTAAGATTCCCATGATTTTTTCTTAATGTGTATAACTTTAGTTGCAATTAATGATTAAGGTATACGAACTTACGATATTAAAGTTCCTATCCATGATTTTGTCATACATTTACATACTTACTCATTGAAAACTCGTTATCAACATAACTTATTGTTGGTTAAGCTTCTAGAATATCTTGAAGCCCAAGACATCTAACAAGTTGGTTAGATTAAGATAGGGTAAAAAYGAAATTGTC